TATTTTCTTAATTGTACGTGTTACTAACGTTGGTAAGATTCATTTCTTAGTAATTTTTTAATACGTCAACTTATACCATTAGTAATAGAGTATAATTTAATTACCAGTTCTAGGAAAGAATTCCAAATTTCGCTTTGTATTCCTTCTCTAAACGTGATATAATTTAATGGAGTAGTCTTGGTTGACAAAGACATATATCTTCAAGGCTATATCTATAGAACCATCTAATTATTGTGGATCAGCTAAAATTGGCCTGTGCAGAAAAAGTCCTAACAGGATAAATTATGGCTATGGCATTATATACATGTTTTGAATCTTTCCTTTCCTTTGATTGTGGCTTATAATTTTTAGGGCCGGCTTTGCTTACTTTCTCCTCTAATTTTGACTTCATTACGCCTATATATATCTCTCATTTGCTACTCAAAAAATCACACAGCCTTACCACACTCTTATTCCAAGCTTGCTTTTGTTTTAACAAAACTAAGCGGAACAGAAAAAAAAAAAAATGATGTCTACTACTGTCTATTTCTTGATATTTTTGTTTGCTGCACTTGGCATGCATGCGACCTTAGCGTATGGTCAAGGTACCCGTGTCGGCTTCTACTCCACTACATGCCCACAAGTGGAGTCGATCGTTAGATCAGCAGTGCAAGCTCGTTTTAATACCGACCCTACAATTGCTCCTGGGTTGCTCAGGATGCACTTTCATGATTGTTTTGTTCGTGGTTGTGATGGTTCGATCCTTATTGAGGGGTCAAACACTGAACAAACTGCTATTCCTAACTCAAATTTAAGAGGATTTGATGTTATTCAAAATGCCAAGACTCAACTTGATTCTATATGTCCTGGAGTTGTCTCTTGCTCTGATATCCTTGCCCTTGCTGCACGTGATTCTGTGGTCCTGGTAATTAGTAATATTTACTAATATATCATGTACTTCATTTTTTTTATCATATACGGTAGTATTCAACTTATTGCATATATAATAGATTATGTATATTAATTTATTTCAACTGCATATTAACATGATGCAGACTGGAGCACGTAGTTGGCCAGTTCCTACGGGGAGAAGAGATGGAAGAGTTTCACTGGCATCTGAAGTTGGTCCCAACATTCCTGCATTTACTGACTCTGTTAATGAGCAAAAACGAAAATTTTCTATAAAAAATCTCAACACTCAGGATCTTGTCGTCCTTGCAGGTTAGTGTTATTTCAAAATATCTACTGCTAAGTTTTCATTCATCTTCTTCATTAATAAGTTATAACTTGCTAATTATATATGTCTATATATTTTTCTATGAACAGGTGGACATACCATTGGAACTGCAGCATGTGCTGTAATTACAGGCAGACTATTCAACTTCAATGGAACAGCTGGTGCATCTGATCCTTCCATAAGCCCGTCATTTCTCCCAGTATTGAAATCTCTTTGTCCCCAAGATGGCAATGCAGGAACACGTGTACCATTAGACACAGGAAGTGTAGACAAATTTGACACATCTTACTTTACAAACTTGAGAGATGGCAAAGGAGTTCTCCAATCCGATCAAGGTGTTGTGGACAGACACTTCCACCAGACCTATTGTCCAACGATTCTTCGCCCTTAATGCTTTCAGCATTGAATTTGCAGATCCATGATTAAAATGAGTAACATTGGAGTTCTAACTGGCACGCAAGGTGAATTTCGTAAAGTTTGCGGAAAATTAACTAAGCATCACTAAGTAATTAAATAAAGTTATGTACGATTGGTGTACTATATTGTCAAGTGCTAGTAAAAGTGATATATATATATATATATCTCTATATGGCGTAAGCTATATAGTTAGCAAAGCATGTTAGTCAAGGCTAAAATAAGGAGAGAAAATAATAGAGATGCAAGTTGTCGGTTAAAAGGAAATCATTGAAGTAGACACGCGCGGTGACGGATTTGTCTTCTGTCACTCGCTCAGCTTCTTAATTTTCTTCACAAATGTGTTTTGTTTCCCACACGAATACTTGTACCACAAGATCTAGCTATCTGCCTAGTTTGTTATGAACTTTGATTATCTCTGTTAAATCAACATATATTACCATTATATGTAATATATATATATATATATATATATATATATACATACATATATGCTATTCTCAAATATCCATATAGACCCAAAACAATGCTATCATACCTGGCCAAACTATATATATACATATATATATATATAAGATATGTCTATCACATTTTCCATTGTTTAGGTGAGAAGAAATAAGATATAAGGCTAATCATAATATTAGCGGTACTAATTAATAAATTCACGGTTAATTTTTTTTAATAAAAAAAAATTTATATATTTCATTAAGTATGTACATATAAATATTAATATAATTTCATAATAGAAATTCACGTAAAATAATATTCTAACATGCAGGAGGCAACTTAAAAATCTAAATCACATATTTTTAGTGGAATGCAGAAGTAAGAAATGATTAATTAGTGCCAATATGGTAAAAACAAAATATTATAATTTACTTTGCTAAAAGAATCATCTAATTATAGCAAAATCTACTTATTTTTAGTTCTTATTAATTTTTTAATTTTCAAAGAAACATACTCTATATATATATATATATGTATAAGGAAATTATACTACATATGTTTTACAACGAACTATGTCAAACCTGTACATAATTTGCTGTAACTAAACTAAATTATGTTACATATAATTTTCTATAACCCAAAAAAAAAAAAAAAAATCAACGTACTACTTTTCAGATGGACTTTTTTGACTTGACAGGTATGGTATCTTTGAACTGTGCGGAAAGAAAAGGTGCAGGCTGTATATACTATATAATATATATATATACACATACGGATGCAACTGTGTATATATATATATATATATATATATGTAACATCATGGACATTATATTTAATAATTAAATATGTAGTTTGTTTTCTTTTACGTCCACAACTGGCAACCAAAGATGAAAAGTTGACGTCAGTGCCTTTTTACGTTGAGTCAACACATCCCGTGACTCACCAGTCACCACTGCTTCGACCTTTTTATACTGTCATAAAGAAATTTGTTACGTAGACTTGAAATTTTCAATTATTATTATAGTTTTTAAAATGTTAATATTTTAAAAAATGATATGGAAATTATTTAAGAAGAAATAAAAGTTCATGTATGATTTTGTTGGTCTAACATTATTAAAATGGGATAAATACTTGATTAATCACTGTATTATACAAGATTTTTTGTATTGGTACTTGTATTTTTGTCATTAATCATTACACCAAATTGATCTTTAAAACATAACAGAGCTACATAATATTAAAGTATATTTATAATAAAAATTATAATAAAAATCTTAAAAGTATATTTATCAAAACCTCCTCTGACTTTTACTTTCGGATAACCCAGTAAGTTTTTTGGACTTGGAAAAACTAGGAATGATTGTTTTGAGAAATTGAACGGTGTGGGATATATCAGGTTTTGAAGAAATGGGTTTGAATTTTGTGGTAATGGATTGTATTTTGGGCTTTGAAAAAGAGACCTGGCCCATAACGTTGATAAATGGGCTTTAGAAAAACAAGTGTTGGAGGTGCAATTAACTTTGATCCCATCGACCCACTCATATCAAACACCTAGTTTGATTGTCAATGCTTTGCCATTGGAAATTTCTACAAGAGAATAAAAAATGGGAAGACGAAAAAATAGACAATGGGGTGCGCTTGTTCAAATGGGTTATGAAATTTATAAGGAAAAATGGGCATTTAAAAAGAAATCTCATTTTTTTAAAAAATTATTTCTTTCACTTTTTAATTTTTTTTTTTTTTTAGAATTGTAATAAGAATGTTTAGAAGGGTAAAAAAATATCGAAAATTTGCAACCGATTTAAAGAAAAAAAAAAAAAAATCCAACACGAAGTATTATTAGCTATGGCTAGTGCAAGATTGGAGAAGGTTGGTTGGAATTGAGAGCAATAATAGGTTGGGCTATTTGACAAAGCAAAACCAAGAGTGGTGACCATAAGACTCCTCTAGACACGAAGTTCAAAACCTATATACATTAGAAAAATGTTTCACAAAAAAAAAAAAAAGAAGTCATGTTGTAGTTAGTTAAAACTGGCTTAATATTCTTCGTCTATTAATTTTAGACATGTCATTTAATTTAGATACAAAAAGAAATAAGAATAAACAAAGCATTTGGATTTGTTCAAGTATTTTAGGCTGGCGGAAACTTTAAGTTATATTATTCTAAAATTACTTAATTTATGATATTTTCTGTTTGAATCTTACCATCTCCTTCTTTTGTGGTGCATGCATGCCGTGCATGAATTATATATTCTCTTTGCTATAAAGAACTAAAGGTTCCATATATATTTGACGTACTTTAATCTTGTTTTTGTATGGAATTATTGTTTTTCGTATAACCTAAGTTGAATATTAAAATTATATTTATAGTCTGAATTAAAATTTTTGGAAATTGATGATAAATTAGTTCGTTTTTAAAAAAAAAAAATATTTTATTAATATAATAATTCTTTTTGCTAGTGATGTTCGGCATCTACTTTTCTCCGGAATAAAATTCAACATCCGCCACTACTTAGAGTGAAGTGCTTAATTAGCCTTGTTAATTAATTAATTATAATCTAACGATGTTTACTTTTAGATTAAAATAAACATTTGTCAATGTTTAGAATCACTAGCGTGATCTCAATTATTATTAACATATAATAATAACATGTAGAAGAAAATTAAGTAGAAGATAATCATTAATACATTGTGCTGAATGTATATTTAAAAAACTAATAACATGTATTTTCCAATCTTTATAAAAATAGAGATTGAAACTTCAATTCTTTCTTAAAATAAGAAAATATATATATATATATATATATATATATTGTGTTCTGACTTAAAAAAAAAAAAAGAAATCTAAAAAAAGTACATTGCCATGTAAAATACATATTTCATTAAATATAAAATGATGATTAAATTTAGAACATTACCCAAGATTTAAACTCCAACTTCAAAATTTAGCTTGATATATAATTAAATTAGTTATTTTATAATTAAGAAATAATAATTATTTGTACATTAATTAATAAACCTATATATTCCTCATTTTGAATATAAATGGAATCATTTAAAGCCGGTCAATTACAACTTTATAAAGAAGACCATTTGAACATCTTTCGGGATAAGATTATATATGCTTTTATTTGTCTTTAATTCCGTATTTGGAATGTAATTAATTACTCGGTACATAATAAAATACTACTTACATTTCAATAATAAAAAAATTATAGATTCTTTTCCAACAGAAGAAGAAACCCATAAATAATATATGTATATACATAAATATATATATATATTATGGAAATTACAATTTTACCATGCTAAAAGCTTGAATCATGCATAAATCTTTTCATACTTTATGCAAAGTTAATTCAATAGAAATTACGGAAAAAAGATTCAAATAACAAACTCCTTTAAAGTTAATATTATATTAAATAATTAATTGAACCAATTCTCTCGTAAACCTAATTTGATAAATTTTTTTTTAATTAATTAATTTTATTTTAACAATAATAACTGTAATAACTCATTTTTTTATTAGAAAAAGAGCGCATAATACATATAGAATTTAATAAATTTTGCGAAGTAATATATTAAAATATAAAAATCAACTATACATATCCTATATAGAGTTACAAGTCATGAGATTTACAAAATTTTAATTATATTATTTTATTAAATTTTAATTCTACTTTATAAAACAAAACTCTCTAAATCATGAAATGATTCTTCAGAGACTTCCTTCATTCTTGAACTTATTTATAATCTGAACTAATATGTATTAGAGGTCTAAATTGAAGTGAACTTCACAAGTTAAGAAAAAGAAACAATACTCATAATAAAGACAGACACACACTTAATCATACAAGATCGACAAAATAGAAGTATATTTTATATAAAACAAACTATCAAATATAGAAAATAACATAATAACAATAATTTCACATAACTACAAACTTCACATTCTCATACACCACAATTTTTACTTTTCTTATATCTCAATAACTTCATCATTCACGTATAATTTCTTAAATATCACAAAATTTCTAAAGTCACATTCACATGGATGAATAATTTCACTGAAATACAGTTCATTTATTTTTATAACACTTGCATTTATGCTATTTAACAATCACTTAGTTTTATCACTTATTCATGTATCATTGTACATGTTAATGTCACTTTATACACAAACATTCTCCCATCTTTGATACATATCAATTTCAACACTCAACCACCTACACCACACACTCAACAACTTACATGTATTCCATGTAACATAATCTACACAGTAACTCTATATTCTTTTCTTGCGCAATTACACACGCCATTTATCCATTACTATATACACATATGCAGAAACTCATACACCTAATTTTAGATACATACATATCCACAACATACATTTACATAGGATCAAGTTGTCTACAAACATTTACAACACATACAGAAACTTACTTGAAATCTACACCTACTCATATTACCCACATATTCATTCACATTCAGAATTTATTTAAATACTTACTTTGCA